CCTTTTTTGTTTTGTAACACCTCAGTTAAAGTTGGTTTTTAAAGGGACCAGCAGATGGCTTAATGGCTATGTTGCTGGATTCCCACATAGTTGACCGCAGTTCAAGCCCTGGACCTGGCGGCTTAAAACTTATGCCAGGCACTTATGCATGCATGCCCAAGATTCTGCAAGAGGGGAGAATGGAGGAGGAATTGAGGCATAACCATCTCCCTGGGGGATGATTTCTCACTTTCTGTCTCTTTGTCTCTCTGGCAAGTACACGTGCCCTATAGCAAAAATCTATAAAAAAATAAATTAAAAAAAATTAAAAGCTAGTTATTTTTAAAAAGTCATTGAAAGAGAAAACTAAGTTGCTCCTAGCTTTGAGCTAATGTCCATGCTTAGGACACCAAACCTGGTACAAATTGGTGATTGGTGGGAGAGGTGGAGTAAAGACACTCACACTCTGGTTCCTAGAATCTTTATACCATGCCACATATACCATGCCACTGGGCACAGGCATGCACAGCTCCCCTGAACCTCCAACCTGCAGGGAAGAGACCCCTGCAGAGCAGCTGTGGGTTGAGCTTGGGACCTAGTTCTGCCACACAGATTCTCAGGAGACATTTTTGAAGAGTCCTTTTCTTATACACTTAAAAAAATTCTTATTTTTAATTTTTGTTTGGGTTTGCAATAAGGCAGATGTTTCAGTGGAGACAGAGAGGGATAGAGAAGTCACCTCTCAGGGAGGGGGTGGATAAGTCATATTCCCTTCTTCTTTCTCCTATCAGGGTTTTGGAATACACATACCACTGGAGTGCTTTTTGGGAGAGATTTTTGCTACAAGGCACATGTGCTCACCAGAGAAACAGAAAGCAAGAAATCACACCCCAGGGGGGATAGTCATGCCCCAATCCATTCGCCTCCTTGGGATTTTGGACACACACGCACACGTGACTGGTGTGAGTTTTAAGCTGCTGGCTTCGAGACTTGAACTGTGGTTGACCAGGTGAGAGTCCAGTGATGTAACCATTATGTCATCTACTGGTCCCATCTGGAGTGTTTTTAAGCCACCAGGTCTGAGACTTGTACAGTCGTTGACTGACTGCGATCTAGCTGCCTTGAACTCCACACCACTTGTTCCCCCTATTTATTTTTTAATTTTAAAAATGTTTTATTTATTTATTCCATGAGTATGTAAAAGAGAAAGACAAGCACCTCAACAGGGTCCCAGGCTGCAAATACCCCCACTCCAAAAGCAGCCAACCAGCCAGCCAGGATCATGGGTGAGTACAATTGGTCTTCACAAGTCAGACAAAGAACCTGGCCCATAGTCTTTCATTCATCACCTGAGCAGTGCATTAGTACCGAGCTGGCCCTCGGTTCCTCGGGTCACCTCCCTCTGTTGAGTTCATCCCACCATCAGCTCCTCTGATGCCTATCCCTGAGCTTGCCTTCTGGATTGTGCCCCTTTTGTGGAGCAGCTTTTCCACAAAAACTCAACCTGACCTTGAGTGAAGGGTCGGTTAAGGCTTGCATTGCTGCTGTACCTTTGCAGCTGTCACTGCCTTCCTCGTTCCCCGATTTCTTCTGACATTCCGATAACAAATGTTTGTCCGACTTTTAGATGTGTTGACTGCTCAGAGCCTACTCTGCCTCCTCTCCTAGCCATAGTCATCTCTCGTCTATGCCATGGGTCTAAAAGTCAAAAATTAACCCACATCAAATCATTGATTGTATTTTGACTTTTCTCATGGGATTTTATTTTACCTACCACTGCTTCTTCATTGAAGAGTGTCTCTGGAAATGTGAATCATATTTGAACCAAAAGCCAGATAATGCTCAAAAGTGATGATATGCCCAGGAAGCAGCAGTGGGCTGGGACCTCCATGAGTGGGCAGGGCAGGCTTGCATTAAGAGGCCCTCTGGGATCAAAATACTAAACCTTATCTGGTTTCCAACTTGTCAATATTGACCCTCCCTTTTGCCTTGCATATTCCTCCACTTAGGGTCATTTGTGCACATCCCCATGGCTGGACCTAGACACTCACACACATAATTTGGTACCAAAATAACAAACTTACTTTTTTTTTTTACTTTTTGTTATAGGATGTGGGTACTCCTATAGCAAAGAGAGAGAGAGAGAGAGAGAGAAAGAGAGAGAGAGAGATTGAAAGAGAGAAAAAGAAACTCCCAGAGGGATGGCCGTGCTGCAATCCCTTCTAGTCTATTCTCTGCTCAGGATTTTGGATTTGTACTCACACGCATCTGGCATGTTTTTCAAACTGCTGGGTCTGGGAATTTAGTCACACATTGGCCATGTGGAATCCGGTCATGTTGACCACCAGACACTAGCTGGTTCCCAAACTTACCATATATATATATATATTTTTTTTTTTTTTGAGAGGTTTTTGCTATACGGCATGTGTGCTCGCCAGAAAGACGGAGAGACGGAGAGCAAGAAATCACCCCCCTGGGGCAATGGCCATGCCGCAATCCCTTCTCCTCCATTCTCCTCTCGGGATCTTGTGCATGCATGCGCAAGTGCCCAGCGTGAGTTTAAGTCACTGAGTCTGGGACTTGAACCGCTGTAGCCTACATGGGAGTCCAGCAACATAGCCATTATGCCAACTGCTGGTTCCCAAACTTATGATCTTTAAATACTGGGCTGAGCATTTACTGAGAGTAAAGGCTGAGGTCTCTGTTAGAAGCATGAAGCGCTGGGGCCAGCCCTCATTGCTGCCTCTCCCAGAGCCTATCAGTTTCATCCCCAAATCTGCCACTCTGCTTCCAATGAGGAAAGCTCTGCAGCCTGGAAGGCAGACCGCTCAGGCACCCACCAGGCTGCTGGGTTTCACTCCTGCAACTGGCTGGAGGAAGGTTCACTGCCAACCACTACTATTCCTTCCTAAGAGGTCAGAGGTCATTTGCCACTTTCCACTCTCTGGTGTTTGGCATCCGAGCTACCCTGGGCTCCCATAGGCCCGCTGGTATTTCATTAACAATAGGACTGCATGCTCTACCTGTTCTAAGGGGCCGGTATGTTAAAGAAATAAGGAAATTTCACCCGCATCCTGTGTTCCTTTTTCAGTTCATCTAAACAATTTTAAACTATTTATGCTCTTGTTAAAATTTGTGTGTACATTATAAACTTCTGGGAGACATGGACTATTCTTTGCACTTAGGAACTTAAAAGTGAGTTAAAGGAAAAATAAAAAACTGAACACACGCGCAGTTGTTTGACACATTTTCTGTGCTAACCAACAAAAAACGAACCCCTACATCAGCGACTTCTTTGATAATGATTTCAGTGTGGAAAGATGAGCTCAGTCTGTCAGAGGAGAAATCTCTTTAGCTAGAGTACATTTTCTTGTTATTTGTCAAACCAGGCATCTCTCCGTGAGCACCTAGCCAAGAACTAGGTAATTGTGCAATGTAAGAAGAGTGTTTGTAAAGTCATGCAAATACACAACGCTTTCCTGACGGCCAGAACAATCTGATGCCCGACCTAATCCCGGTCTTCTTTCCAGCTCCCGCCGGGTGGCGTTTCCTGTGCGCAGCTCCGCGCGGCCCCAGGTGAGTGCCGGCTCCGGGGCCTGCGGGAGGGGCTGGAGCGTAGGCGGAGGGCGGACGGGGGGGGCTGGGGAGACGAAGATCCGGGCCCCGACTGCAGCTTTCTCGCGGTGGAGCCGCATTTCCAGCCCCCTCCGCAGCC